GTTCCTAATTCGCTAGTTCCTGAGATATAAGCTGTCAAAGTTGGATCAAATCCAAGTTTGAAATTCGCGCGAGTTATCAGTAGGGCACGGTTTGGGTCAATTTCGAACAAAAATCTAAAATTTTTTCATTTCTGGAATCGGCTCGACGACAAAGTTGACTTTCCGAGGCCGAAAATGCGAATCTCCCAGAATTTTATGATTTTTTGGTTTTAAGCTATTTCGAGCATGCTGATGCTGATGAGCTAGGTAAAAGTGTTCCTAATTCGCTAGTTCCTGAGATATAAGCTGTCAAAGTTGGATCAAATCCAAGTTTGAAATTCGCGCGAGTTATCAGTAGGGCACGGTTTGGGTCAATTTCGAACAAAAATCTAAAATTTTTTCATTTCTGGAATCGGCTCGACGACAAAGTTGACTTTCCGAGGCCGAAAATGCGAATTTCCCAGAATTTTATGATTTTTTGGTTTTAAGCTATTTCGAGCATGCTGATGCTGATGAGCTAGGTAAAAGTGTTCCTAATTCGCTAGTTCCTGAGATATAAGCTGTCAAAGTTGGATCAAATCCAAGTTTGAAATTCGCGCGAGTTATCAGTAGGGCACGGTTTGGGTCAATTTCGAACAAAAATCTAAAATTTTTTCATTTCTGGAATCGGCTCGACGACAAAGTTGACTTTCCGAGGCCGAAAATGCGAATTTCCCAGAATTTTATGATTTTTTGGTTTTAAGCTATTTCGAGCATGCTGATGCTGATGAGCTAGGTAAAAGTGTTCCTAATTCGCTAGTTCCTGAGATATAAGCTGTCAAAGTTGGATCAAATCCAAGTTTGAAATTCGCGCGAGTTATCAGTAGGGCACGGTTTGGGTCAATTTCGAACAAAAATCTAAAATTTTTTCATTTCTGGAATCGGCTCGACGACAAAGTTGACTTTCCGAGGCCGAAAATGCGAATTTCCCAGAATTTTATGATTTTTTGGTTTTAAGCTATTTCGAGCATGCTGATGCTGATGAGCTAGGTAAAAGTGTTCCTAATTCGCTAGTTCCTGAGATATAAGCTGTCAAAGTTGGATCAAATCCAAGTTTGAAATTCGCGCGAGTTATCAGTAGGGCACGGTTTTCATGAAAGGAAGTAGGAAAGGATGCCAAACAGTTTCCCTCAGTTAGCTTTATCTTTGTGAAAGGGAAATTACCTGTTCATCTATTGTCTCCAAGGATATTTCGATATAGTTAATGAAGAATTGATGATAAAACAAGTTGGCACTCTGGTAGTTGTGCTGGAGAAAATCGGACATGGCATGAATGTTCAAGCATGCTTGCTGCTCAAAAGTGTTTATGAAACTCGTTATTATGACTTCATAACATACTTTCAAGTCAGAGGCTTCGTCTTTGAGTTCATCAATCCATTCTAAACAGTTATCGATCAACATTTTCTTTAATGCGCTAGCCAAGTGATTTGATGGATCTGAAGAGGGCTGAAGAACGTCTGTATCAATCGACTCATTTGTTCGAATCATTGCATCCCAAATAGGCAAAACGCATATATCAATGACTGTTCTATAATCATATGAAGTATGATGGTCGTTGCTGTCTTGCTTTTGCATATAAAAAACGAATTCAAAATAATGTACTTGAGTGAAGAGTTAAGTTGTTTGAATGAATGATGTCCCGATGGAGGAAATAGTGTCAGATGCCGGAAACGATCCAGCATTTCGGACATCTCCGCCTGTACACATTCGCTTAGGTATATCAATGCTTTTTCCTGGAACAACATAGTTTGAAGTTTACACCTTTTATGATGTTTACCAATACTGAACACTTTGATGAAACATTAAAACCTCTTATCTCATTGGTCAATTGAGATATCAGTGTTTCATCGAAACTTCGTATTGAATTGTCCCAAACAAGGAAAACACTTAGTGATCTGCAATCATTGTATTTTCAATTCTCATCATTCCTTTGAATATCTCACGTGACAGGTATCGTTATGTGGGGGAGGCCCTGAACTTCAACCAGAGCATCCAAAATGAATTGCGACTTGTCACAAAGCTCTCCATTGTATTCTTCGCAAAATCCCTGAATATTGCATTTTATATGATAATCATATGACTCTCTAGTGAGAAAGAAGACAAGGTAAGCCGCCAACACAGTGCGAGCACATGACACCGAGATGCGCCTCCTGTATGAGAGCATCAACATCAATATCATCAACATCGCTCTCACAATGGAGAGAGCATAGTCAGAACATGTGAAAGTAAAGAGAGAACTCGAGCGTTAGAAGAAAACGGTTACAAGTTGAGAAGTTCAAAAGTTTAAAATTGTCTCACTGTGATTGATAAGAGCAATTTGAAGATGAAACAGGAAGTACCTTGGACATGGCTTCCTTCTCATGGAATGTCTGAATTATTTCCAGAAAGTCAGAAAACTGCAACGGCTTGATGAGCTGTGGCCGACTCTCCTTTGTCAGTTTCAATTCGGTGAAGTAACAATGATTCTTATGTTCGACGCATCGTTTCTCAGTAACATTCAATTGTAAGTTATTCAGATTGATGGTGTCTTCTTCTTTTCTGTCCAGCAGCATAACTCTATGATAGAAGCCGAATGATAACGTCTTCAAGCCGTTTCTATTACCTCTTAATGAGAGAAGAAGATCGAACAACAGCTTTTCGGTTCTCGCCATTGAACTTGGTGACGGAAAATTTAATTTTATAATTGGTGTTGACGCCCAAATCACTGAAAGATAGCAGATGAGATGCACGAATGACAATTCCTTATTGAAGGGATGGAAGAACAAGAAAGACAAAACAAAAAAAAGTCCTTTCTCTCTCTCCTTTGATCTAAGTGTGCACGATTGAGAATGGGGTTCAGGGGAAGCGGGTTGGACAGGACTAAGAATGGAAAGTTAAAATTACAATTTGTAATGTTCTCCAGAATTGATGGTCTGTTGACGAGACGATTTTTCACTGAAACATGACGGATCAATAAGAAAGTGCTTTTTATGAAAAAAACTTGAAAATGGAAATGACCAAATTTTGATTCGTCGGTAACTGAGTCATCACTTCCAGGACGTAAATGTGCTGTAAAGCAGGATGTTGATTCAAGTTGTTAATGTGATTAAAGTAAGTTCATATTTGGGATGATTCATTTTACAACTCACACATTTCGAAGCTTCTTGGAAGAGTACGTCATGCTTGGGCTTGGGTATTGATAGTTGCTGAACATGGTAACGTTACCAAAAACAGTTATTGTCTGTCATTTTCTTCTTATTCACCTTTCGTGCATGATCTGTGTATTCGAATGCTCTCTGACGTTGACGATCATCCGTCCAAGATATCAATATCGATGATAAGATGGATGTATATGCTTCATCACGCATTGGATTTATATGGTTAAGAGTATCGAAATATATATAGATGGGTATGAGAAAGACAATTCAATAGATGTGAAAAAGAGATTTTGGTACGTAATAGGACGTCTTTACATTTTCTTTTCATAAATTTTCTCTGATTATGAAGAAGACTTGTTATCTCTGACTTCTTGCCCATTTCATATGCTATGGCAATCACTCTGACACTTTAATATGCGGTGATTAGTTGGCTCCTCTCTCTGCAACTCAACCTCTCTCTCTCATAATTTCATTTATCTTTATGTTTCTTTGCTACTCTCTTCCTTTTGACATACTGGCTTAGACTCTCTCATATACCTCTCATATCTTTCTTTTCTCCTCATTAGGCAGTCTATGATAGGCTTTTCCGATCGAAAAACCATTTGATAAGAAAGTTCATATTTCCTCAAAAGTCATTAATAGCTCATTAAAAGCATGGAAACTTGATTGTTTTTTCCGATAAACAAAGACATAAACAACCGTTCTACTCACTTGATCACTTTTTGTTTCACACACATTCACGTGAAATTTGATAAATAAACATGAAAGTGAGAGGAGGTGTATAGACAGTCTGTTGATGATCGTAAAGGCACCCCTCGCCAACACTACCGAAGAAGTCGTATTCCGCTGTTCCAGCCGTGTATCTTTCTCCTTCTCTCTCTGTCACCTACCCTCTCTCCCTCTCTCTCTCTCTCTCTCTATCGTCATTCTTCCTCCTAATCTCTCAGATTTGCAATTGTGGTAAAACAAAATATTTTTGTTAGCAAAACCAACATTTTCATTTCACAAAAGTTCATTTTCATATCTCTCCTTTTGTGTCCGTCTAGACGGTTTCACTTCTTCTTTCAAAAATGTTTTTTTTTTGTATTTTCGAACATCTCTCGTCTTGACAGAAAAGCATTTAAAGAGAATTTCGAATTATGTCATGCAACATTCTCTTTCCTTCGTAGTTTCAACCGAGATTTTCTATTTCTCTTTCTCTCTTATTCTCTAAATCCTCCTAACCCGTCTTCATCCTTTCCTCCTCCTACTCTTTCTTCCACTCTCTCTCCCTCTCTCTTTCTCGATCTTCCCCTCTCTCTCTCTCTCATTGTAGACGAACGTATCGTGAAATGAAGCAAAACCGGTTGTGAAACAGAAGCCAATCGTTGAAAGATTTTCTAAACCTTTGCCCCATTTACCAATTGCCAATAAAGAGTTTTTCATATTTTCATAAAATCTTTCTGCCCTTTCTTTTAACTTACCGCCTGTTTCGAGGTAATACCCTGTTTTGGCTGATGATCATGCACAACAGTCATTCTCTTCACTGTCGTCCTCCAGTCACTCTCTCCATCTCATTTCTCTCTCATCAAATTTCCTCTCCATCCTCATCACTCTCTTTCTCTATTCATCTCACTTCAAAGCACGATGCCTTCTGATTTCTGATGATCAACATCCTTTCATTCAAATTAGGAAATCTCGTTGTTGAACAGTTTTTTCATTCTTCTCATCCTCTTCAGCCATCTGACTTTCCGTTTCTGTAAATTCATATTCCACAACAGTTTCGATGACTCTTCTTCTTCGTCTCTCTCTCTCTCTCCCTCTGTCTCTCTCTATGCTTCTCTTATTATAAGGAAAAAAATCTCTTCAAACTTTTTCATCTTCATTCCCCGCTTCTATTTTTATCAAAACGCATCAACCCAACCATCCTCTCTACACCACACCTTCATCGTCTCTCCATTTCTCTCTCTATCACTCTCTCTAGTTAAATCCTCCCTTTCTTCCTGAACTTGTCACAATTATTCAGATTGACATGTTCTTATCATTTGTCTCAAATTTGAATTTCACGTTAGAACATCCTTTTGTGATTATTGAACCTCAAACTACACTTAACCATATCATATAGTTAGCATTTGGAGTCTTAACTTATCTCATATACAATTCTTGCATTTATTTGTCATCAATTGGTGTGATTTTCATGTCAACATGTCATTTCCAAGAACACATCCCTTTCTCTATTTCTCTCTTCCCTCTTATCAATGTGTACTGTCTTGCTGTACTGCCTATTCCATAAACTGTTTCCATCTCTCTCTCCCTCTTTCTCTCACTCTTTCTCTAATTTTTTTTCGTGATGTTCCGTTTATGTGTTTATTTCATCTCCTTTTCTGTGATTTTTCATAATTTACCTTATATGTCTTCATCTTCATCTTCTCTATACCTTCGTTCCTTCATACAGCTCCATACATAGTGCGCACGACCATTCACTACGTGAACGATTTGAAAATGGAAAAGAAACGTTTCTCATCGTTACAAACATAAATTTGTGTGATGAAATTAAGTATTTGTGCTGTCAATCTCTTCAGATCACTTTCTCTTTCATTTTTCCAATAAAATCATTTTCTTTGATTTTGTGAGCAGATAAAAAAAATTTTTTCCTCGTGTTGCCCTATCGATGCCTGAAATTCGGAAATTCCGTTCCTCTGCTCCAACACACAACTGTACCCCCTCCCCCCCCTCTACTCTGACCATCTCGCTCTCTGTTCAGATTTCAGTTTTGATACTTTTTAATCAAATCGATTCATATCTGATGATTCCATTTGAATAAAATGACCAAAAGTGGCTTCGTATCGTTACTTGAAGGACCGTTGGTCGAAGTTGCAAACCCGTTTGCCATCTTTACGCCCGACCATCAGGCCGGCCCTCTGCTTTGCGTTTCTCCTTCGCACCTTAGACGACACCCATTTTTGTATTTCTCTCTCTGCTTCTCTCTCTATGTTTCTGGTATGCTTGTCTCTCTATTAGTTTCTATCAATTTCTCTCTCACTTCATTGAGAGGTTGTTCTCCTATTAGTTGCATCCTTATACGCTAGTCTTTCTCCCTCTCTCACTCGCATCGTTTATCACTTACGAATCTTTCAGCAAGTTGGAGGAAAAGCCAAAAAAGGAAACATACGTTTTAATTTGTTGTCAAAAGAGGAATTCGTCTTCTTCTTCTTCTCCTTCTCCATCTTGTTCTAGCAATCCTTTTCGGATCATAAAATGTGCCAAAGTTTGTAAGAGACAAGGCTGTTAAACAAGTTGTGTGTCTCAACCATTCTGCTTATTTACTCTCCCTTTTAAAGTTATTCCAAAAAAGAAAATTATATATGACGTCATCAATCAATAGATGAACTTCTCTTCTTCTTCGTCGTCGTCGTCGTCGTCTTCTCCTCCTCCATAAAAATGCGTTTCGTACAAAAGAATTTTGATTTGAGAGATTGTTTACTTTCAATTCATTTGGAATCACATATGAACTTTTCCATTTTCTTTTCTTTCCCTTTTTGTCTTCCAACCCCCCCTAAGACTACCTTCATCATACAGCTGAGCTGCAGAGAGTACACAGAAATGAGAAAAGAATAAAGTTTCAACGAAAAAAAAAAGTTTTTTTTACTCCCAACACACACCTCCATCTTTCACCTCATCTCAACTGTTTTCTGCTCACCTGAAATTCAGAAGAGAGAGAGAGAGAGAAGAAACAAGAATGGAGTAGAAGGCAATGAAAACGAGCAATTGACTACACGATCAACCACATGGCCTCAGGGCACATAAGACTATGAAAAGCAACAGCCAACAACATATGAACAAGAACGAAAAGAGAAAATTCGAAAAAAAAAAAGAAAAAAGAAAACAGTTTTTGTGTGTTTTTTGCTGTCCTGTCACTGAACGAGCAGCAGTCTCAAAAGCTGCTTTTGCTATAAGAAATCAGACTTATACATTGGATGAATGATGATTATCATTTGTAATTCACAATGACATTTCCTAATCAGGATTTAGCAGTTGGTGTTGTCGTTTTGATTGTTTTTCTTACAAAACATTATTTTTTTTTTGTATTTTAAGCCATTTTCAATGACTTCGCCTTCATCCTCCCTCTCTTTCGACTACTTCGTACCTTGTACTCATTCTGTCTCTCTTTCTATCCTTCACTCACTCTCATATCATACTCTCTGCAATTTATATCGTCTCATGTTCGCTCATCTACATCTATCATACTCTCTTCATGTCTTCTTGTTCAACATTACTTTCTCGCTACACTGTTTTTTCTCTCCCTCTCTATCATGTTGTATTCTCTGACTGGGAATTCCCCTCCTTCTACCTCTACCTCTCTTTCGCGCTTTCTCTCACTTTCCACCTTGTTTTTCTTTCATTTTCATTTCATACCTCCATCATCCATTCATTTTACCTTTTGCTGTGCCAGCTTTATCTTTCTAAACCTTGTATACTATTCTCTTGCTTCTCGTTTTTTTCTCCTTACTTTGTAACTTTTATCTTTCTTTTAAGCTTCTCTAAATCTTCTCACACCTCGAATTCCGGCTTATACGGATGACGTCATCACTGAAAGTCATCAGCTGATTAACCTGTCTCCAATCAGACATTTTTTTGTTTCCGCAACTTTTTGATTGAACTCCTTCCGGCCTATTTGCTGACATTTCTCTCTCTTTCTCTTCCTCCCTCTCCCTCAATAGCATCTAGTTTTGCTTTCTGCAACCTCATACTCCCTCTCTCTCTCTCTATCATTATCCTATATGTAACCTTCTCCCTCTACGTTCTCTTCTCGTTCTTCTTGCAAACTTCTTATTTTCATCTTCCTTTTATCATCTTCTTCTCCCTTCAAATCCTACACGGTGATTATCAGAAAAAGGGTGAATTCTCTTCTAATTTTTTTTGGTGCAAAATCTCGTCGGCGTATCAAATATAAACAGAAGAGAAAGCAATTGCAAGTAAAACGAAACAAATTCTTCTCTGAATAGTTTTCATATGAGATTATTTAACTTTTGCGATGAATTTTTCATGAAAATCAAGAAATGTTCCTGTTTTTCTCTCACCACCTCTCCATCATCTCCATACTCTCTCACTTCGACATTCCTCTTTTAACATTTTTTCCTTTTTTTCTCTGTCTCTCTCTTATATACTCTCTTACATACTCTCTCTCTGTATCATTACTTCATCCTCTCTTGTTATCCTTTTCTTGCAAC